ACTTTTATTGTTAACTGATATGATAATTATACATATTTACAGAGTACAGTGTGATGTTTTAGTATCTGTATCCAATATGTAATGATCAGATGAGGCATTTATAAACTGGCATTTTTCATTTGTTTGTGTTGAGAACATTGAAAACCCTTTCTGATAGCTCTTTTGAAATATTTAATTATTGGTGTCAACCACAGTTACTCTACTGTGCTGTACCAAGCCCTTTCTAAGATTTCTAGTACCTCTTTCAGAGGAACTACCTGGAACCAAACTGAACTGTGTATCAGAAACCAGAGGGAACTCTTCTAACTTACTAAGCCTTGGGCCTCAATGTTTCAAATGAATTTTCAACTGAATTCAAATTAGAAATAAAAAGACACTGGTAAACACACTGAAATGTAAACCGGATCTATGAACTGAACTGAAAACTTCAAAACTATTTCAGGGCCAAACCATAACCTCGGAGAGAATTCACTGCCTTGGATTCCCTGGTCAAGGTGCCCCTAACTTCTGCACAACCCCAGCTGGGGGAAAAAGAAGGAAAACAGTTTCCCGAGAAGACTCTGGGTCACCTTTCCTTCCCACGTTTTAGCTTTCATCTCTAGATTTTTTGTTTGTTTGCTTGTTTTGGTGTTTTGAGACACTCACTATGTAGTTGAGACTGACCTGGAACTCCCTGTGTATCCCAGGCTGGTCTCGAACTCACAGCGATCCTCCTGCCTCAGCCTCCCGAGTGCTGGGATTACAGGCGTGCGCTACCACGCCCTGCCTCATTTTAATGGCTTGGTATCCAAAGTCTGTCTGAAAAATGATTATATTGGGAATGTTGTGTTAAAAGAGGTAACTTTGTTACTGAAAAAGGAAACATCTTATTTTACTTTCAAGTAAAATCTTTTTTCTTTTAGGGAACTCAGAAACAAGGCAAATATTCAATTTGGAGACAATGGAACAACAATATCTGCTGTGAGCAACAAGGCATATGTTTTTGAACGAAATCAATCTGTCGGAGACCCTAAAGTTGATTTAATTAGAACATTAAATATCCCTGCATTGGTAAGTATGAAGCATTTTAATATAATTTTGTATTATTTGTGGAGTTTAGAAGAAAATAAAAGGCAAGGCAGTTAATGGCATTACATTAGGAGCTATTATGTTGTTAAAAATATACTACATAAAAAGAAAAATACCGCTGGGGATTTAGCTCAGCGGCACCTCACCTGCCTCAAGTGCAAGATCCTGAGTTTGATCCCTGGTACAAAAAAAAAAAAAGAAGAAGAAAAAGAAAGAAAGAAAGGTGTTTTCCCTTCCTTTCTTTAAGGTTTATCTTCATTTTTGTTTTTGTTTTTTTCTGAGATCTATCAGTGTCTTTCCCGATGACAATGAAATACAATTTTCCATTTGCACAAGCTCTTGTGTGTTGAGGATTAGCACATGTGCTAATAAATAGCGATTTTTTTGGTAGCTTGTAATTTAAAACGTTTTGCCCTTTTGTCTCAGAAATTGTAGCCAGAAACATCTGCATATCAGGTCTTAGTTCAGATTTCTATCTTCCATGTTTCCCCATAAGACCTAACCGGTGGGCCAGGGATTTAGCTCAGCGGTTCGGCGGCCTGCCTTGCAAGTGCAAGGACCTGAGTTCAATCCCCGGTACCAAAAAAAAAAAAAAAAAAAAAAAAAAAAAAAAAAAAAAAAAGAGACCTAACCGGAAAATAATCAGCCTTGAAAACTAGAGGTCACAAAGGCCAGCCCCCGTCCGCCTATCTGGCTGGACCTGCCCTTGCTGCTGGTTCCTCCGCGAGGCAGCTAAGGGAAGGACAGGCTGATGGGGTCTGGCAGTTTTGATCTTCTAGTTTTCAAGGCTGATTGTTTTCCGGTTAGGTCTTATTTTCAAGGAATCGGGGATCATATTTTAAATTCTCAAAATATATGATTTGACTTCTACCTTCCTTTTCCAATATCAGAGCCTGGGCTCTTGATTAGAGCCCACTCTGGCGACCCCCACGAGGACTGCACCTTATAATTACCGTTCTTAGCTTCCCTCACCTCTTTGGAGGCTCCCACCCCAGCTCCTAGCACCTCGGTGGCACAAGGTAACAAATCCTAGGCCTTCCCTGGGCGCCGCAGCTGAAAACCAGGCCCCAGCCTCCGGCCCAGCCCAGGGGAATGGCGCCACCTCATGGCCACAGATGCCAACGTAGTCAAAAGATCTTTCCGGTCTTCAGATGGGGAGGCGAAGCTCTTGCTCACAAAATGTGACAGAGGACACTGACCCCAGAGCCTCGTTCTCTCTCGTTTGCAGCCAGAGAGGAGCCGGCTGGCTGGTTTTTCTGTCGCGTGCTCCACGTGATTCACGCCCTGTGGAAGGGTGGCGGGAGGAGGGGTGCTGTGCAGGGACTGACCCCTTGCTTGTGCCCCTAGACCGCCATGGAGTGGACGCGGAACCCTTTCCTCCGCGACATCATCGAGGCTGTGCTCAAGGCCTACAAGCAGACACTTTTCGTCACCCACACCGTGCACGAGCTGCTCTGGGGCTACAAAGATGAGCTCTTGTCGCTGGTCCACACATTCAGACCGGACATCTCCCCCTATTTCGGCCTGTTCTACGAAGTGAGTGAGGAGGGGCATCCTGGCCAGACTTCATCCCCACTGTGGTTTTTGATAGGAGACGCCCACAGACTGGCAGACTGTGTGATTCCTAGCACTTGAGAGGCTGAGGCAGGAGAAGGATCACAAGTTTGAGCCAACCCTGGGCAACTCAGTGACTTAGTCAGACCCTGTCTTAAGATTTTAAAAAAGGGGGTGTGGGGGTTTAACTTGGTGCCGATATCTGCCTTGCAAGCACGAGGACCTGAGTTCGATCCCCAGTACCAAAGAAATAAAAAATAAAAAGTGCTCAGAATGCCACTCAGTGTGAAAGCCTTGGGCTAGATCCCCAATACCACCAACACATATAAACACAAATTTAAAATGCAGTCATTTTTAGGAACACGTGTCCAAGGATCTTGCTCCGAACACTCAGTCCCTTAGCATTTCAGTTCCTCTGTGGTGATGGCAATGATTTCTGCTTTCAAGAGTACAAAACTTAGAAGCTGTTCAAACAAAAATGAGTAGGAAGCTTGAAACATTATCTCTGGGGAGTAGGTGGAGTCTCACCAAAAGTCCTGCTCTGTGTCCCCTAGAAAGTCCTAGCCAGTGGGAATGGACAACCCTGCCCCACTCCCCAGGCGGCTCAGGGATCATGAAATCAGTGCCTACACTGAATTAAGAATACAGAGTTTAGAAAGGAAGAGACTTTATTAGAAGAGGGTGTGGGGAGAAGGCAGCCACCCCAATAAGGACCAGAGCAGGGGGCACCTGAAACTTCATCCCTGGCCTTGCTTATAGGGGTCAGAGACCCTCACCTCTTCCAGGACTGGCTTCCTGGGGCTGTCCTTGCATTAAACTGGGCACCCTTGTCTATGTTATTTCTTTTCTTTTCTTTTCTTTTGGTACCAGGGAATGAACTCTGGTCCTTGCACTTGCAAGGCAGGTGGCGAAACCAATGAGCTAAATCCCCGGCCCTACATTACTTCTTTTGGTGGTCTTTGTGTAGCCTTTTCCTGTTTATTGTCCTCGACAAGGTCTTATTTCCCCAGTGGGCAGGTGGTTGGCTAGGAGGTGCCTTACTCATGGTTATTTTATAAGGGGATGTGTGGTATCTGTTGTAATACAGTGAACCTAGAGGGAAAATAAACTTAATTCTTTCCATTTTTCTGGTAGGTTCCAGTGCTACCTATGGTATCTTGGTGCCTTTCCTTCCATATCTGGTTTCCTTTTTCTCTACCTCTGTCCTTGGAGCTGTGGCCTAAGGGATTTTCTCCACTAAGGTTTTAACTTCTGCTAGTTGGGGTTAGCCAGGAAACTAATGTTACTCTGTTCTCTCCCTGCCTATAGACCCCTTCCTCTGCATAACCATACTATGTGGTTGGGAGTGTTTCCTGAGATCGTTCATGCAAAATTTTAGAACCAGTGCTAAGAGCGTCATACAGTTGTTACTCGCTTAATGACCTACCTGTTTAATGACTGTTGGACTTAGGACTGAGGGGCACTATTTGGATTTACAATTCGCCACTCGGACTTATGGCCCATCTCTTTTTTAAACATTTGTACTGAATGGATAAGGCTACCCACCTGTTTTTTTCTTTTCCTTTTTATGCGAGATAGAGTTTTGGAACTCAGGATCCTCCTGCCTCAGCCTCCCATTGCTGCAATGACGGGCATGCCCCCCACACCCAGCGCTTCCGCCCATACTTTGAGAGTAATGTCCTTTACTTAAAATTAACTGATTGTAGTTATTTATTACATCAACCAAATACCTTCACAACAACGCCTAGACTAGTGTTTGACCAAACAATAGTGCACCCTGCCTAGACAAGGTGACAAAATTAACCACCGCCGTTACTTTAAATGATCATATTTATTCATTTTCAGAAAAATGGAACTAATGATGGAGATTATGTTTTCTTAACTGGAGAAGACAGTTATCTTAACTTTACAAAGATTGTGGAGTGGAATGGAAAGACGTAAGTCTAATGATTTATCAGTATGATTGTTGTTTTTTTATTTAAACTAATATGCATTAAGAAAATTTAGCATTTACTTCTTGGATAAAAATGTACAAATATGTAAATGTCCTCTTATTATCTTATAAGTCAAGGTGAGGTAATATACTCTGTAAGTTAAATATTAATGATTTGTAGGCATATCATGGCCAGGCAGTAGTTACAAGCTTCTGATGTCTCATGTGTTTGTAGAAAGGGGATGATTCCAGATCTCTCTCTCTCTGTTTTTGTAATATACAGGGTCTTGCTATGCAGTTCAGGCTGGCCTTGAACTCATTTTGTAACACATGCTGGCCTTGAACTCAAGGCAATTCTCCTGCCTCAGCCTCCTAAGTGATGGGATCCCACACCCAGCCCAGATCTCTCTTCTTTTCCTTTTTTTTGGTACCAAAAATCAAACTCAGGGCCTTACACTTGCCATGCAGGTGCAGCACCACTGTGCTACATCCTTGGCCCATCTTTTTAATTTCATTTCGTGGTTGTAGATTGTTAATGCATTTTTCTCAAAAGAGGAAATACATTTGAGTGTAGTACTATAGCATTTCAAAAATATTTTTAAAAATTTTTTTGATACTGGGGATTGAACTTAAGACCTTGCACTTGCAAGGCAGGTGGTGGAACCACTGAGCTAAATCCCTGGCCCTTAAATTTTAATAATATAATTTATCAACCAAAGCTGTCACCAGGCTGACTCTGCGAGGTCCCTGAGGCTGAAATAAGCTGACATATCTTTTTTTTTTTTTTTTTTAAATTTGGTACCAGGGATTGAACTCAGGACCTTGTGCTTGTGAGGCAGGCACAGTGCCACTGAGCTAAATCCCTAATCCTGACCTATCTTTTTGTAGAAAAAGTTTGTAGGTTCACTGACTCCTGTTGCAGTAAAAAATAATTTTCGAATGTATTAGTAAGAGGCACAGGAAGGGTTTATTAGACAGAGATTTTAGGCTGCGCTCAAGAGTGGGGTGTGAGAGCTCAGAGAAATGAGATGCATTATTTCCTGGAACTGTTAGTGGGTTTTGGGGACTGAACTCTCTGTCCAGAGGTAGTTGCCAGGTTCTTTCTGTCCTGAGCAAAGAATTGGTCAATACAAGTGCAAAGAGTTTTACATTTACTAAAGGTAGGAAAGGATCTACAGAGTAAATTCAGCTCAAGTAAAAGCAGGAAAAGAAGTACGCCTCACAGAGTGAGTGAGGTAGGCCACCGTGAGAGAGCACCGTAGCGGAGAGCTCAGGGGCCTTTTAGTATCACCCGCTGATGTTGGGTCTAGGCCGTGCCATCAAAACCCTGATAGAGGGGCTGGGGATTTAGCACAATGGTGCTGCCACTCTCTGAGGCAGACCGCCTCAACTGAGAGGTTCCGAGTTTGATCCCTGGTACAAAAATGAAACAGAAAAACCCTGTTAGAATTCTTGCCCATGTGCAGGGCTTTGGGAGCTGTTCTGTGCAGCTATCCTGGGATTTTATAAGTAACAGCTCATGCCTCCTCCCCAGCCCGCTCTCCCACATTCTCCTCTCCTGTCTTAGAAAGGAGTGGGGACCATTTATGCCCCCTCCCCCTCTCCTTACCCCTCCCCACCTCTTTTTTTATGTTTCTCTTGAAGGGGTGGAAACCCAGAGAGTAGGTGGCTTGCTCCCCAGGAAGGGCAGTAGCCCACTCTATAAATGAGAAGTTTTTTTTGTGTGTAATTTAAACATTTTTTAAACTTAGTAAACGTTTGCAGGCCCAATGATTACATTCACTGTAGGAAATCAGTATATGTACATAACACATTTTAATTGTTTATTCCCCCTTCCCTCCAACCCCCATTTAATTTTTGTTTTTTTTTTTTGAGACAGGGTCTCACTATGTAGTTGAGACTGACCTGGAACTCACTACGTAGCCCAGGCTGGTCTCGAACTCACAGTGATCTTCCTGCCTCAGCCTCCCGAGTGCTGGGATAACAGGCGTGCGCCACCACGTCTGGCTTCACATTTAATTTTCTCAGTGTCAAATCTATTTATTTATTTTATAAGACCTTATAAAACCAGGCTGGGGATTTAGCTTCATGGCATCTCATCTGCCTCACAAGCACAAGGTCCTGAGTTCAATCTCTGGTACCAAAATGAAACAAAACAAAAATGTACAATCTCCAGTACCTTAAAAAAACCAATTTGGGTCCAAGGGCCTCCTTTTTCTTCCCCTTGTATAATCCCTAGGACTCACGTCCCTGTTATGAATAAGATGCCATGAGTACCCAGCTCCACTCACATCCCCAAAAGTCCCTGCACTATTTAAGGGAACCCTAAAGTCTAATTTGATCATCTTTATTTTTCCTTGCATTTATCATCTATAGGTCTCTTGACTGGTGGGCAACAGACAAATGCAACATGATTAACGGAACAGATGGAGATTCTTTTCACCCACTGATAACCAAAGATGAAGTCCTTTATGTCTTCCCATCTGACTTCTGCAGGTAGGAACTATAAGAATGAGTTCTTTTTAGCAAGGATCATAACACCGATTTTCATAAAGGCCTTCATAAAGGTGCAGAAACGTGGATGTATAATACCCACGTTTATTATCTAGAATTCTTTCTGTTAATGAATTATTAATTTAAATTTTGAGTTTTACTATATTAAATAATGGATACTTAACAGGAAAAAATCAAAAATATCGAATTTTTAATATTTGAGTGTTCATAAAAAAAGCATCAAAATTTTCAGCATCAACTGTTTTTTGGTGTATGAAGTCTAAAAAATAACAACAGAAATAAATTCTTTTTTTTGTTGTTTTTTTTTTTTTGGTACTGGGGATCAAACTCAGGACCTTGTGCTTGCAAGGCAGGCAGCGGAACCACTGAGCTAAATCCCCAGCCCTGGAAATAAATTCTTATAGAATTACAATGAAAAAAACTGTAGCACTCTTCAAAAAAAAAAAAAATCTTTACTTCAGTTATCACACCTACGGCAGTCTTCACACATGACAATAGCATGTTCCATACACATGTATTGCTTAAACTGACAGGACATGAGTTTTGCTTTCCTGGCCTTTCAGTGGGACATACTTGACATTCGCTGGTCTTTTTGTTTGGTTAGGAGGTTTTTCTTGAACAATGTGTAGTTAGCAGGAACATAAAATATCAATAAAATAAGTATTAAATTCTTAATATGTATTGTATGTTTAGAATAAACATCAATATTTTCACATCAGCTGTGTACTTGCTTACTACACCTAAAGGATAACATCAGAAATTAAAAACCTTTGTGAACTACAATATAAAAACAAAAGCTTGCCACAGAAAGTCTTTGCTACACATGAAAGCTTCATGTTCCATACACAAATATCATTTACACTGATAGCATATATGTTTTGTTTTCCTGTCCTTTCTTGTAGGTCATAGTTGACATTTTTTTGTTTTTTTCTGTTGTCATAGTAGATCTTTGTGATGTTGCATCTGTCTGTTCACCTGTCAGCTCACCAGTATACTCTGCATTTTTTAAAATAGTTCCCTAGGCAGAAACATTTTGTTTTTCTTTTGCTATAAATGATCTCTTATGAGTTGCAGTCCCAATCCTTAAGGAAATTTCTCTGTGGTATTTTGCACTTGTTATTTTCCTTGTAAACTGTCAAGCCACACATGTTTAGTATTAAGTAAAACACAAACATTTGCCTACTCTGCCGTCTCTTTGTATTTCAAGTGACATCACAGTTGCTGCATAACAACATCTTATCAACAACATCTCTGCCTTTGGTTTTGTTGTAGAAAATTTCATTTCATTTCTTTTTCTTTTTCTATTGGGTATTGAACTCAAGTTGTAGAAAGTTTCTATCTCGGGCTTCCGTTTTGTTGAGGTTTCCCTATCAATATTTCCACCATAGTGCAATGTTGACATCAGCAGTACCAGTTTGTTTCTCTTTGCCATATACAAAGCCAGTGTAAATCTTCCTGAAATCCAGAGATTGTACTGCACAATTCTCTGTTTTAGAATTGCAACATTTCATTTGGAATTTCTGGTTTGTTCCTGTATACAGTTCCTGTGCTAGTCAACTCATTAGCATGTGTAACATCAATTGGAAACTGGTAAAACAATTGTTGAGTGTTACATTCTGATTAGTTTGGAAGAAGGGAGCAACAACATCATTCAGTTTATTACTATACAAATAAGGACTTGGTGGCTGAGTTCCAGGATAAATTCTAAATTGAGAGTATAATAAGTCTTCACATCTATTAAGGCATAAATTTTTATGCCATATATTTACTTATTGCTTTTCCATAAGCCTTTTACATTCCTGCAAATACCATGAGAAATCCCTTCTAAGTACAACAGACCTATGAATGCTTTCAGTTCAGATAGTGAGGTGTCATTGTAAATACATTTCTGAGTATGGCTATTGGTACACACAGAATGTTTTACTTGTATATCAGCCTTTGTGTATTTTACAACATCTTGTAACATTTTGTCTGTCACAGTTTCCAACACTGAATGGCAATGCTGGCATTCTTTCTTTCCCCGCTGCCAGTACCAGGGATCCAACTCAGGGGCACGACTGAGCTACATCCCCAGCAGCTAGCATTCTGTTCAATAGGTTTCACCTCTGCCATGATCTTCATTATGTTTTTGGACCTAGTTCTAACATTGGGTCATTCCATTTGGTTGTATGACCATTTTGCAACATTTTGACTAGTCAAATATCTATTCACATTGTTTCCTTTGTCATCTGAATCAGGAAGGTCTACATTCCCTGTATCAGTATCAGTCGATTCTTGCTCCATTTCACTGTCACATGGACTTTGGCTCACATGGCCAACATCAGTCATTATCATCTTCATCATCTATGCATGAGTAATCTGATGATTCACTTTTGACCTCCTCTAAGACTTGCAAATCTGTTTTTTCATGTGCCACTGTACTGAATTTGGCTACTTCTACCAGAAAAATTAAAAGAAAACTTAAAAAAAAAATCCTAAATGCAGAGAAATTTAACAATGAGCATTTTGTGGGTAAAACTCACTTGTTGCTGCTTTGGAGCTCCTGTACACATCTTGCCCTTCATCTGCCAAGTGGGTGAGTGCACAGATGGATTTTTGTTTTCCCCAGCTGCAGCTACTGTGAGTCACACCCACCTTCCATTATGATAAAATACATGTTTTCATAACAGAAGAGTGGTGTGGGTGTATTTTACCCCCTGTGATGCTCAAGTAAATATATGTAAAATCTGTCAGATGGCACATTATGTGGGTAAAAATCCTGTTGCATATACCTTGCCATACATGGTACCAAATCAGTGAACACAATGATTGTTTCCTGTATCCCCCAGGCACAGCTGCTGAGATGCACAGCCAGCTACTATTATACTAAAGTACAAATTTATAGTAGAAAAGTATGGGATAGTTGTTGTAACCCAATATTATACCCTTCAGGGTACAAAACGAAGTCTGTGATCACAAGACCACCAAACTTTGTGGATTGGGAAAATGCTCAGTAGGCATCACTATTCTGCTTAGCAGTGATCAGTGCTGAGGTGTTCAAGGATAGTGTGTGCAGTGGTCCTATCCCCGACCCCAGCCTCACTGTGTTGGTTTGGATCAGGTCCACCACTTAACAGCTGTGTGACCATGGACAATTTTTTAACCACTGGGTGCCTCAGCTTCCCAGTATTATATAATATATAATTGGTGATAACTGTTTGCTTTTACTATTAGTCTTAGTGGATTTATTTAGTCTATATAAATTAGCATTTAGGAGTGTAAAGATGTGCTCCTAGGGCCAGAGAGTTGCTCAGTAATTCTGCCTGCCTCGCAAGCGCAAGGTCCGGAGTTTGATTCCTGGTACCAAAAAAAATGAGCTCCTAAAGAAATTTTAAGAAAACACTTGGGGCCTATTGATTGACTGATTGATAGGGTCTGATTATGTTATCCAGACTGGCCTCAAACTCCCATCCTCCTACCACAGCCACCTAAGTAGCTAGGATTACAAGTATACACCACTACACTTCACTTACATGTTTCCTTCTTAATTTTCTAACACCATTGTTTTCTCTTGGCCTTGTTCGCATGTTAGCATAGTTGCCACCTCCGAAACATCTCTCATTACAGATCATCTGCTTGTCTTACACTGGGCTGGTGGAGCTTGTTTCAAGCATTTTTTTTTTTTTTTGGACCGGGGATCAAACTTGGGACCGTGGAACCACTGAGCCAAATCCCCGGCCCTCCAAGCATTCTTTTGCATTCTCAATTTCCACTTAAACCCCACAAGTTTCTAGTTGTCAGACACCTGTTGCTAACAGACAGACTTGGGGTGGACCATGCTGCCTGTAGCCCACACTGACTTTTTCTTCTGACATCCTGACAGGTCTGTGTATATAAGTTTCAGTGGCTATGGGACTATAGAGGGGCTGCCCACCTTTCGGTATAAGGTGCCTGCAGAAATATTAGCCAATACCTCAGAAAATGCTGGCTTCTGTCTTCCTGAAGGAAACTGCCTGGGCTCCGGAGTGCTGAATGTCAGCATCTGCAAGAATGGTAAGAAACAGAGACGGGCTGTGATGAGGGGCATGCAGGATGTGGAAGGATGAGAGTTCAAGGCAGGAGGGGGTGCCAAGCAAAAGAAAGAATGATTCTGGCCTTTCACAAGTATGTTTTGTAACATGGCTATGGGATGATTAAAAATTACTGGTTTTCTGTGATGCTCTATTTTTAGAATGCCACGTGGTCTTTTTTTCCTGAGCAGTAGTTTAGGAGTCTTAACTTGTAATAATGGCTTTTATTTACTGTGCTGTTATTAATGCATGGAAAGCATTAACTGAGGCAGGTTCCAAACAGTGCTGAAAGAGAAAGTAGACAGCTTGGTTTTAAGAAAGTACCTATTTTGGCAAAGATTCTCAGTATTTTGAAGCAGAGTTAGTTTTAAACTTTGACCACTATTTCCCAGTGTTTCTTAATGTCTGAAGTCTCTCTTCCTCTTCATGAACGAGGCAGAATTATCAGCGATATAGCTGACAATGGTATCTCTTTGAGGATGTTCAGTGTCTGTGTTTTATAATTGTGGAAATCGAGGCTCAGAGAGGGAATATGCTTTTTATAAAACCATTTCTTCTTTCTGGGACTCAGGATCTTCTCATATTTGAACTTTTTAGGCTATACTTCTTCTCTAAAGTTGCCCTGGAGAAATTTCCCTCTTTGTAACCCCTCTCTCCTGAATAATATGCTTGTTCAATTGGTTTTAAAATCTCCTTTCAGAGGTGGGTATAGTGCATGCTTGTAATCCCAGCACTCAGGAGACTGAGGTAGGATTGCTGCAAGTTCGAGGCCAGCCTGAGCTCAGTAGTGAATTGAAGGCCAGCCTGGACTATATAGTGGCACCCTGTATCTACTCCCCCTAAAAAAAACCTATAAAAGCTTTCAGCCTAAGTCTGAGGTCAACAGACCTCCCTATTCTTGCCTAACAAGGCAGTGACCCCCAAACCTGCTGCTACATCAGAGTTATCTGGAGAGCTATTAAAAATGTATGTTCCAGGACTGGGGATTTAGCACAGTGGCTCTGCTGCCTGCCTCGCAAGCGCAAGGACCTGCCGGTACCAAAAAAAAAAAAAAAAAAGTATGTTCCGGGTCCCCGGAATCAATACATTTAACAAGTGTTCCAAGTGGTTCTTGTGAAGATGATGTCTAGGTACCTGGAGACTGCTGCACACAGGGTCATGGTACCCCTTGCCCAGAGGTGATAGCTAACAATGAATGGGGGCCATCCTTTCCTCTCCACCCAGGTTAAGGCATAAATGTAGATACATTTTTCTTGCTGTTTTGGTAACATTCTTTTTTGAGAAACTATGCCAGAGCCAACGGAGTCTACTTTGCAACATTTAGACTTCTTGCTACAGTTCTTTTCTTCTTCTTATGCCTCCCCAAATGTGGACTAGAAAACTGGAGCTTATCCTCAGTTGTTTTCAGTTCTGAAATATTTTAGATAGCGGGATAGCGAACATCTTAGATAGGGGGATGAGAGAATGTTCTCAAGTCAGGCTTGGGCTTTGAGTTCTACCCACTCTGTTAGCCAGTTGGACATACTGACTAAGGAGGGTTCCAGATGGCGATTTTCACATCCACAAAATGGGGACAATTACAGCTTCTTGGAAGGTTGCGTGACGGTTAGAGATAATGTAATATATGAGGGACAGTGTCTGGCTCTTACCAAACCCTCAATAGATGTTTAAATCTATATTTCAAAAGTCACTGTAAGTCACAGAGAAGGAAATTATGATTTTGTGGAGCTGTTTAGCAGTAAAGATCAGAAAGCTGTGCATGTGAGAGATGATGTGTACCTTGAGCCGTGGGCTGGCAAATTTAAATTATTTGCTAATAAACTAATTTCTCCAAAAATGTATTTCTCTTTTAGCCATGATTCAGTCATTCTCTTATTTCCTTTTCTTTTCTTTCTTTCTTCCCCCCTCCCTTGGTGGTACCAGGGATTGATCATTTCTTTTTTTTTCTTTTTTTGATACCAGGGATCGAACTTGGGTCCTTGAGCTTGAAAGGCAGGCGGCAGAACCACTGAGCTAAATCCCTGGCCCATTCTCTTATTTTCAATAGCCAGATCTGGAATAGATTGATTTTAATAATCTGTTTCTCTATTTGGCCCTTAAAATGAATAGAAAAGGAAAACCTGGTTAGTGGCTAAGCATACAGCAGAATCAGGCAAACTCTTAAAAAATTCTGGAGTCAACATATCCAGAACAAGGTTCATCTTTGGTTAAAAGGAAAAAAAAATTCCATTAATAAGTAGAGAACTGTAATTGAAATGAGTGCTTTGAGGTGGGAGGGTTTCATTTGATTAACCGCCTCCTTAACCTGACAGCTACTCATCTCTGGGCAAATTGTGTAACTGTTATAAACTTCAGCTTCTTCCGGTGAAAAATGAAGGTAAAAGTTCTAATTTTATAGGGCTGCTGGAGCATTATGTACATAAAGAATGTAGATTTCATAGTTTCAGTAAGTGTTGATTGAAGAAATAATTGAGCTTGGACTTCAATATATAATGTGCAATAAAATAATGTGGGTACAAGAGATGGCAGAAAATAAAGCATAAACCTTGAACTAGGCAGCTTAGGAAGATATTTTAGCTGCCCACCTCCCCATATTTACTTAGATAAGGCATTTTTTTCCCTCTTTGGGAGCCAAGTTTATGGTCAGGAACTTTATATTTATCTTGGGTTTTAAAAACGGCATCACTCATTTCTGTTTCCCTTACAATGCAGGTGCGCCCATTATTATGTCTTTCCCACACTTTTATCAAGCAGATGAGAGGTTTGCTTCTGCCATACGAGGTTTGCATCCAAATAAAGAGGATCACGAGACTTTTGTGGATATTAATCCCGTGAGTACACACTTCTTCCTGGAGATTGAGCATCTGTTTTACTGGGCAGTATACATTAGTTCAGCCTTGAGCACTTAAGAAACACTTTGTCTTCTTTACATTTATATATTCAAGTGGGGGGAAAGTAGTTCAGTGCATATTGAGGCACAGTCATACAGGCCTGAATTAGAAGCCTGAATTCTGGGCTGGGATTTAGCTCAGTGGCACTGTGCCCATCTCACAAGCTCAAGGTCCTGAGTTCGATCCTGGGTACTGCCAAAAAAAAAAAGCCTTAATTCTGTGGCTTTAATATGCAGAAACACCAGCTAACCTGCTTTACACAACAAACAAACAGTAACTGTGAAGATTCAGTCATTGGAAACATCTGAGATGGGATCCATGTAATATCTGAGATGGGATCCATCTAGTCTTTCTGTGGCCAGCTGTGGGCCTGAACAGAGCTACGTTTCTCACAATGGGACCCAGATCAGGAAGACTGAAAATGTCACCGTTTACCAACCACCAGGAATATGTTGGCTTCAATTAAGTATATGTATTAGCTTCAGTCACTTTTGGCAAACCTCTTTTACAAGTACTCAGAGCTGATTTATGATATTATTAATTCTAAAAGTATAGAATATATACATACCAGGCTTGAATTAATAGAAAATAAGTGTAACCAAATTAAAATGATAGGAATATCACTTCACCATGTGAATGTCTCTTACTGTTGAAGCTAAATTACAGGTCAGATATCTTCATTTTTGGCTTTGATCACCATGGAACAATAAAGAAAGGTAAAAACATTCTTTAGCATTGCATTTTCTGCGCATTTCCTTCTTAGTCACACTTATCACATCTAGATGGAGAAACCAGAGATCTCATCTTTGGTGAATGAGGTCAGGTACAACTTTAGCCATCAGTCAGTCTGTTGCCTCAGGGTAAGCATAATCCTACACCTCAGAGCAAAGGGGAGACAAGTGCAGGAGCCACTTTTCCTGGGCTGTCTGATGGTGGGACAGGAATGACATCCTCCTCTTAGCTGTGGACAACTGCCGGCAGGTCCAGCCTTGGCCTCTCCTCCTGAGGAGTCCTCTTGGGATTTCTATGCAAAGTGGGCTCTTGTTGGAGATGCCCAGGCTTGACTCCCCCACCCTATTTACCTACTGAATCAGAATCCCCCAAGGATCCGCATTCATCTTATGGCCCTAATGAACTTATCCTATTCTGGGGATCAGTTTTCCCTGTACTTTTCTGCCTTTCGGGCATGTAATGGCCACCTTGTTTAACAGAGCCAAAGAAATAGTGCGTTTGTGGCTTAATCTTAACATTTTCTACTCATTTGTGATTTGCAGTTGACTGGAATTATCCTAAGGGCAGCGAAGAGGTTCCAAATCAACATTTATGTCCAAAAGATTGATGACTTTATGTAAGTTTTGCTTCTTTCTACAAGAGAGACTGGTTTTGCTCTATGAATCTCTAGTGCGATTAGTGTTGGGAGGAAGATAGTCTACTTCTAACTGCAGACCCTAACCCTTCAGGGGTGCAGCATGATCGTATTTTCATCAGCATCTTGGTCTTGAAATTTGCTGACTTTATTTAATCAAATACTTATTCGGTATTTTCCATGCATCAGGCATTGCTGTAAGCATGTTATATGCATTAACTTACAGCTTTGTATTGTCCTCATTACACAGATGGGGAAACCAAGGCACAAAGCGCTTAAGTAACTTGCTGGAACTCACACAGCTTGTAAGGCTATGTGGATAGATTCTTTTATCCACTCCACTGAGCATTTCCTTGACCCACAGGACTCGTTGCAATCTTTCTACCCACTCTGCTCCCAACTGGGGCCAGCCACAAGCTCTCCTAGAGTCCAACCTCTGCCTCCCATACTCCATCTACCACTCCTTAACTCAAACTCCTCAGTGTAATCTCCTTTTCAGTGGGAATTTTTGGGGGATATGAAAAATGCTTATGGTAAAATATGAGTGAAAAAGTAGGATGAAGCTTATACATGCTGAAAGCTTGTGGGAGATATTCTAGATCTACCCATAACAATACTGTCAATCAATCTTGAGTCGCTTCTGCTGTTGAATTCATCAAATTTAACCACATGTCATAGTTCTGAGAAGCAAATGTGGTTTGCAAGAAGCATTCTGTGACTCAAGTATGTCTTTCTGCATCAGTATAATTTAGTAGTTAAGAGCTGGAGCCTTGGAACTAAAATGGAATTATCACTCTGGATCCACCACTCACTCGTGATCCTGGGCAAACTACCTGACCTCTCTGGGCTGGAATTTTCTCATCTGTAAACCTGTGACAGTAATGATGCTTACTGCACATGAATGTGTAAAGATGGAATGAAATGACATCCCCAGAGCACCCAGCACAGAGCTAATTAATATATGGCAAGGACTCAGCTGGCGCTCTTTGGAAGACGGTCCTTAAGTGACCGAGATACACACTTCCTGAGCTGTAGCAGCAACACTGGTTCACCAAGTGTGTCTTCCTGTGAAACAGAGATCACTTTGATGAGTTTGCTTTCAGAAGTTTTGTTTTGATGAAACACTGTGTGTATATGCAGCCCTTGGACTTGTGGGGCTGATGCTGGGATCTAACTTCTGACTTGGATGTGTTTGCAAAGATGACTAAGAAGCCTGCATTAAGTTCCAGGTAATTGAAATAAGAGTGCTGGAGTTTTTGTCTAAATACGTCTTTCCAGGTGAGTGTGCCATCACGATGAGGATGTCTCTAAAGTCATGTCATCCTTTGTTTTTGCAGTGAAACAGGAGACATTAGAACCATGGTTTTCCCAGTGATGTTTCTCAACGAGGTAAGTCCTGAGCAAGAGGGAGCCACAAGTGTGTTGTAGCTGTTCAGGCCTGGGATGCTTCCATTATGTGTGCTGGTGTAACTATGTGCAATGCAAATATCTCAGGGTGGAAAGGGGTAGAAAATGATTTCTTAAGTGCTCTTTTTCCTCAGAAATTTTCTCGTAAGTGATCACATGAAACTGCTATGTCTGGGAGTTGATTTGCAAAAATGCAAGAGTTTCCTTCTTGAGAACATTAGTTGGACACAGCTCCCTTCTGGGGAGCCAGTCATGTGAGGAGCAAAAGGCCCTTTGAGGTGAGGCATTGTCCGGGTTAGCAGTCAGGTGCCCGGTGAGTGAAGCCTGGCTTTGTCTCCTTCTGCTTTGAAACCCAGCCAGTTCAAGACAACTTTTCTAAATCACACAGCTGCTTCACTATAGCTGTATTTATTTCCCCATTTTCTTCCTCTCTTCTGCCCAATTTTAAAAGTAGAAAAATACAACTTTTCCTCTTTCAATAAATTCCATTGGAATTTCAATAAATTCTGTTATTAGCAATGACATTTTAAAGTTTTTATTTTCTGTTTCCTAAAAATACTTATTTATAGAAAATTTAGTGACAGATTAACAAGAAAATAATAAAAATCACTATTTACATAATCTAAAGCCAACAATGTATTTTTTACTTTACTCAGTGGGTTGTAAAGTGCTTTCCAATAACAATTTAAAAAAATGTTTTATATTTTGTAAAACCTGTCTTTTATAGAACTCTTTAGAAAAAAAAGGGTAAATATAATATTTAAAAAACTAAATCACTGAAAAGCCTATCTCTGAGGGACAAGTACAACTCTTTAGAAGCCTGTCTTTAGAACCTTCCTGGTATTCTCTTAGGTTCAAATTACAAGGTTGAAATCATACTATAGATGGCAATTTTATGTGTTTTTTCCCCTCTACATTAGGATTACATTGGTGACCACATTTATGTACTTTTTGAAGGATTTGTGATTACAATTCTAAAATGGGGCTTTATTATTTCAAAGGAAAAGTTTAGGCCGTGTTTGCCAATTTACAGGAACTACTGGGATTGCTCTAGGACCACCAGTTACTGTTTGTGGGGAAGGACATGCAAATAGGACTTTTTGAAAATGCAGGACTTTTCTGCAATCTTAAGTTCATAGTAATGGCAGTCTTGAAGTTCTCTCTACCCCCAGCTTTTGCTTTGTTGTTTTGTTAAAGGCTAGATTGAACACAGGCTGGAGTGAAACCTCAAACATTTACTGCCTCCTTGAATGAGCTTGATTTTTCTCTTGTCTAGAAAAATAAAATGTAAGACCTGGAAGTGACGTTGGAGACTACTGTCCCAACACCTTTTTTTTGGATTAGGAAATTCTGACCCAGAGAGGCATTAGCCATTTATTGAAAGACCTGCCACAGAATGTGATCCCCTAATTCAGTCAGATGCAAATTAAGCCTAAATTAACTCAGAATTGCTGCCCATAATTTTTGTGGAATTAAGCTCTTCATGTACCTCACCCATGACACTAGGTGATAGTACCTCTGCCCTGAGTACTGAAACGTGTTATTCTAGAATATTTCCTTAGCAAGCAACTCTCTCTGGAATTCTGGTTTGCCCCACAACTTACTCAACACCTTCTGGAGACATCTGGTCCTAATGACTGTAGATGGAACCAACAGAGAAATTACCCTTTCCACACACCATTTTTGAGTGTTTGAGTCATTCATGTAATCAACAAGTATTAATTGAGTGCCTACTGCAAGCTTGATGCTATACCTTACGTGGAGGTGACTGAGATATTTTGCTTTCAAGGACCTCAAAGTCAGTAGGAGACAAACAAGTAATGAGATAGTTATGATGCACCATGCCAAGACAATGAGGAGTGTTCTAGAGAGTGAGGTGGAGACTTAGCGAATGGATGTTTCACCAGTATTGAGGCAGCCAGAGGAAACTTCTGGAAGAAAGCCATGCTGAGCTAGATTTTGTTTTGAGATAAAATAAAAGAGATTATCTCAGCATTTCTGAATATCCTTTTCCTCATTTCCAGTCTGGGTTGAGTAATACATGTCACCAGGAGAAAATATAAGGACAAATTTCTCTGTTTAATTTATAAGTGGGCTTTCAGTATATCTAGCCTGCTAACAAGACAGCATAGTCAAATCACATTTGATAATTGGAAAGGCATACAGAAACATGCTTAGTTGCTATGTTCTTGTCCCTCTAGAGTGCAACCATTGATAAAGAGACTGCAAGTCGACTTAAGTCTGTGATTAACACTACTCTGATTGTCACCAACATACCCTACATTATCATGGCACTAGGTGTGTTCTTTGGTTTGGTCTTCACCTGGCTCGCGTGCCGAGGACAGGGATCTATGGATGAGGTAAGTACTGGCAGGAGGAACATCTCCCTTCTAGATACCTTTACCTGAGGAATTCCTTAGCTACTTCATTAAAGGATTGTTCAGTGGCTCTTTAGGATGGATCCTAGGATTTTATGGAATACAGTTTTTCATGGTTTTATTACTGCTGGACCAAATGGTAAGCAAGGTGCTGTGTCAAACAAGGGTGTGTCAAGGAAGGCAGGGTGATAGTACTGAGGTTCTCTTGGTGGGAATGGAATCCCTGGATGTATCCAGTGGGAGTTATCTTTACATCTTTAAAAACAATAACCTGGTTGGGGATTCAACTCCATGGTGCTGCCACCTGCCTCACAAGCTCAAAGTCCTAAGTTCAATTCCCAGTACCTAAATAAATAAATAACCTAAAAGTAGAGGAAGAATATATAACAATAAACTACCTGGGCTCTGTTGTCATACTGCCTAGGTTCAAATCTGAGTCCTACTATTAGTTCTGTGACCCTAGAAGCTGTACCTCAGTTTCTCCATCTATAAAATGGAGTAATATGGGCTCCCCTGTGAGTTTCTGGTGAGAATTCGATGATATGGAAAGCATAAAGGATTTGGCCCAGTGTTCATATACAGTATAAGCTCAGTAACCTTAGTTATTGGGCTGGGGGTTTGGCTCAGTGGTTCTGCTGCCTGCCTCACAAGTGCAAAGGCCCAAGTTCAATCCCCAATACACACACAAAAAAAAAAAAAACCCAAAAAAACAAAACAAAACTTCGTGATTAAATATGATAAATTAGCTCCAGTAATATAGAGGAAGACACCCAGAGACCTGTTCGGAAGGAATCAGAAAATCCTGCGATTGAGGCATCATTGCAGAATATGAGATTGCTGCATGGGGGCAGTGGCTTTCCTGGAAGAATGAACAGCTAGGTTGGTCTCTCTCTAAGTGTGACCAGGAGTCTGAAGATCTTGACAGAGCCTTTTCTACAGAAACCCTTCTTAAATGCTCAGCAGCGCCCCTCCTTACAGCAAACATTTCTCCCCTCCTGCCCCATGGTAAACTAAGTGTCTGAGCAAATGTGAAGGAGGAAATGAACTAGGTTGAAACCATACGAGTAACATTAGCTTGGTGTATCCTACCTTCCACATTCTTCCACGATGTCTTTTAACCTGACTTAGCCATGAGGCAAACTATTTTACCATTTCTGCCTGTGACTTTTCCAGTCTGAATTTGTGCAGCCACTGAGATTTTCAGAAGTACAAATGAAGCCAGGTCTGGGTGCACACATCTACAAATCCCAGTACTCTAAAAGGCTGAGGCAGAGGAATGCAAGTTTGAGTCCAGCATAGGGGCGACTTGGTGACTTAATGAGACCCTATGTCAAAATAAAAAATAAAAACTGGGCCGGGGATGGAGCTCTATGCTGACACCCTGGATTCAATACTCTGTACTGCAAAACAAACAAAAAACTCCAAATGAAACCTCCTGGAAATGTTCATCACTCCTCCTACACAATCAACCATCTTCATCCATCATCAGCATTAGTGAGCACCCATGAGCTCTGAAATACTGCTCTTGGTTTCAAACCAGGAAAGAGGCAAATTCAAACATAACAAATCTAAAGTTTGGGCCAACACAGAGGAGGGCTCTATTTGGCATTGGTCTGGAATGGCCAGAGAAGGCCTTCTTGAGGTTATGTCTGCATCTTAAAGAGTAAGAAGCAGCAGGCTGAGAGGAGAGATTAGCGGAAAGACCCTCCTTCCTATCAGCTCTCTTCTCTGCCTTCCTCCACACCCACTCCCATCACTTTTCATAGCTGTGGAGAAGTTTCTGATGTGACCTTACTTCCCCGCCTCTCTCTTGTGTTTCAGGGAACAGCAGATGAAAGAGCACCGCTCATAAGAACTTAACTATCTCCAGTGCTCAGTGAAGGAATGTGTGAGCTGTCCTGCCCTGGACTGTGACAGGGGCCCCACATCCACACAGACTCTGTAAGTGTGAAGAGGAGGGAGAAGACCCGGGGCCAGCAGGTGATGAGAGGAATGTTCTGGCCAAATGGGAAAGGACAGGCTAACATGGCCGGCCATTATGCTTTATAGAATCGTGTGGTTTCTGAAACTTTTTTCATGTGTCTAGCAAGTATTTAATAAACTCTTATGTAGTAATTTGGGGGGGGGCCTCAGTTCTGGTGGCTGTGGAAGTTTGTAGCCACTGTTGTCAGTGTGTCACTGCATCGCTTGTTAATGCTCTTTGGCCTAACTTTAGTCAATATGCTTCGTTCACCAAGTTTTGTGCTCCCAGTACATACGTACTACTTTATGTTATAGTCCTCATCTCTCTCCCTGTGTGGAAGAAACAGTTTGGAGCCCAAGGTGAAAAGGTGACCTTATCCAATACAGGATCCAAATACATCTGATTTCTTCTTTAAAAATACTACATACTGCATATCATGCTAATCTTCAATTCATAATTCCTCTGGGAAAATAACTTGGTCTTCTGACTACTTTTATACTGGGAAGAAATCAAGGAGGGAAGGGACCGAGTGGGGTGGCATCTATGAATGGACAATGAGTGCTGAAGGATTTTTAAGCTGCATCTCTGTGAACCAAGAGAGTGTGTAAATAATGTTGGTGAGGATAAGTACATATTTCATAATGAGTAGAACTAAAGGCTAGTTATAACATTTGTAGATAATTCTTATTTATAGTTAGTTATTTTGATAGATAAGATGCTGTGGGAAAATATAATCAGCGATTTTCCCCAGCCAGCCCTGCCAAATAAGATACTGTGTTAATACAATACTATTGAGTGGTTATTTGTTAAATTATGGCTATTAGAAATCCATTCATTCATTATACAAGTTATACACACATTTCAGGAAGTCTAGGGCAGACAGGCATTTTCTTCTGGGATAGTCTTCTTGGTAACTTTGAAATTGTTTTTATGAGTTCTTTCCTGAGAAGAATGAATTCGCTTGTTCGGTTTTAGGTTGATAATAGCCATTTTTTCTATTTTGTAGATCATTATTTCTGAGAAAATTGAGCCCTACATTTCTCATGACAATCATTTTACTGACAGAACGGCAAGTGTTTAAAGTATGGCACAGAAAGTGCTTTAAAGAAAAATCCCTTGAGATCTAAAGCAGTGTAGCCAAAGGCAAGAGACTAGGGAACCACTGTTAACATCACAGAGTTCAGAATTCAGGCAGCGTTATGGGCATTTCCTTTGATTCTCAAAGTTCCACATTGATTTCAACAGAGAAGCCTACACGGTTACCTGGTAAAGTGCTTAGAGAATTTCCCAATAATTCAATCATTCCAAGAGATTTAAAAACAACATCATCAACAAAACAACAACAATAACAATAACAAAACCAAATCACAGCGGTTTTCAATGTAAGCAAATGAAAAAAGAATTATGGATCTCCTTTACATAGCTCCTTATCCCTGTATGGAGGTAATAAGTCACTTTAATGTACATGCCCAGTTCTCCTATTGCTATACTAAAGTGATATGTGTGTGTGTGATGTTTCCCTTTTTGAAGGGGCAATGCATTAAACTCTCAACTTTTCTTTAAATCAAGATGAAAACTTTCAAATATATCAAATTGCCAAAATGTGAAAAACTGAATTAAAAAATACTTGGTCTTCAATAATTCCTAATACCTGGACTAGGCTTTAGTATTTAACTTGATAGTTGGCGTATCTTATTCCTCATGCTTTTACTGGTCCTCACCAAGATAATGGATAAGGCAGGCAGGGGATGTGCATTGGCTCTGTCCTATTTGCAGGATGTAGTCATCTGTGAGGAGGAGATTTTTCAATACTCTTAAGTCAGTGATGGCGAACCCTTTATAGCTTTCAGTGATAAAGTAGCCAGGTACAAAATGTGTGCCATAGGTTCGCCTCCCCTGCTCTAAGTGATACCAGTTAATCATGTACACATTTAGACTGAGTCCCATACAGGCAAGAAGACCCAAAACATTTATCCCATATTTACATCATTATTTATACTTATAGGTGAAAACCACATTTGGTGTTTTCCTTCTGAAAAACCTGTGGCAAACCCATACATTGTAGTGAGAACTACAAGTTGGTTAAGAAGAATGAATTCATTTGTTTGGTTTTAGGTTGGTAATAACCAACTGCTCCTCAGGCTCATTCTTTTACAGCCTTTATCCTGGAAAGTCACCCAAAGGCACTGTGCTTGTCAGTGTTGTCAGCAGTGACAGACTGGTGGGCAGGAAGAACTGGGACTTGAGCACAAGACAGGTCATAGGCTTTGCCACTTTTAGCTTCACACTTTTCTTTATGTTCTAGAAAGATCACTAATGGTCAAAGTGGAGCAAGCACTACATGACTGACCCCTATTGGGGTTTTTACTTAAGGGAGGCTAGTTTTTAATTTAAATTGCTTGAGACATGAATTCTGCAGAAGGCAATTTTCATACTTGGCCCTCTGGGCACCATTACTCCTTGTGCCTATGAATGAAAGAGAACACTGACCAGAGTGCTCTTCATGTCGCTTGTACAGTTGATCCCTTTCATGTGACTCTTGGCTTGTTTTATTTCCACCCTTAATGCAATGAAATGTTTCACTAATAAAAAACTTTATATAAAAGTTACTGGAAATAGTGTCCATTTGTCTACAGGCTCTCATTTGAAAAATGCTCGACATAGCTCTGGGTAACACAGTTCAGGTCACCTCTGTATTCCCCCTGGCTGTGGATGTGGGCGAGTCCTACCCAGGCAGGTCCCAGACCTTACTTTTTGCCACTAGGCTTTCTGCAGAGTCCTGGAAGCCCCATCGGAGCACAGGGAGCGTTGGGGTACCGCTAACCTAAAAGGGGCAGCAGTCAGCTCATTAGCTGTCCAGTCCCCAGAGGAACAGTTCTCCAGCACACTCTTAAAGCCACCCTGGAAACTGCTCTGCTAGGAGTTTGCATTCCTCCTCTTGTTTGCCCCACTCCTCGCTGCTGCTTCCTCTCAAACCCTTGCCTGCACTCACCAATGTCCTTAGCCCTCAGAGCCAGTCAGCCTCCGGGAGACCAACGCAGACAAGTCCACACAAGAGGGCTCATCAGGATCAGAAAGCTGCCAAACATGTTCTGAGGCTTGTTTCTGGGGATATTTGTATTCAGGTTATTAATCTAAAACTCAAATGAATTTTAAAACTTTCTCCATCCCGACACTGTACCTTATTCCTGAAATCAGAGTGAATATAAAACTTCTAATCCAGTTACAAGATTCCTAGTTCAATGATACAAATGTCCTTATGTACCAAAGACACTTGGTAAGATTCTTAGCATATGTCCTTCCTAGAAATCCTAAATCCAATTCCAGCTGGCTTGTGTCACAAAGGAAGTACCTAGTGTTTCTTCTTACTCAAAAGGTACACACAGACACATGGCACTGAAAGTACACTCTATAGACTAAGGTTTTAATACTGTATATCCACGAACAATAATTGAGCAAGTATGATATATGGGGAATAGTAGAGAACACAAAGTCCAAAAACATATTTACACAGTACGAGGTAAAGCTCCCATTTTCAGAAATAACTATTTAAATTTAATTTTGAGCTAGTACTTATTTCATGAAATACACCACTTAAAATGATTTTCAGTAAATTGACTGAGTGGTGCAGTTTTTAGAATATGTTCAACAACTCAATAAAATGTCCCATTCCAGTTTACAACCACTCCTGTCCCCACCTCCAACCCTGGCAATTGCTAACCCACCTTCTGTCTGAATAGATTTGCCTTTTCCAGACAGTTCATATAAATACATTTGTGGTATTTGCTACTGAGGCCTAGCTTTTGCAGAGTGTACCTAAAAATGTGTTCAACTAATTTTACTGAGATCCTACTTTACACCATACGCTACAAATACAAACTAGGCTCCTGGTGACCAAAAAGAGACATGGACTTGACAGTCTAGTGGGGAAAACAGTTACCAAATAATCACGCACAGAAATGTAAAGTTTCAACTCGGCTGATACTCTGGGAACATGACTAGGAGTTGGCAGTTAGGTAAAAGTAAAGCATTTTGGCCAGAGGGTTCAGTTATGCTACGAGCAGGAATGTTTACATGTCAGTGACTGATGTGTTTGGCAGCAGTCCAGAGAAGGAAGAGCAGCAGAAGGAGAGGCTGTGGAGAAACGGGCCATGTCATGCTGGGTCTCATTAAGTCACATTCAAGATTTTCGTATTTTGCCTTAAGATCAACAGGAAGCTACTGGAGGGTTTTAATTGGGTTTGGGGGAGAAAAAGGGTGAGACAGCAGATTTGTTAGAAAGTCCCATTCTAGCCACAGGGTGAAGAATGAATGGAAGTCAACATGGATGCAAGGAAGCTATTGTGCTAAGTGGCTGTTCTTGGCATCTCCATCAAGACGGGTCTTCTCTGGGCTGCAACTGCTATGTACCACCCTTCCAGGTGAATTCCAAGAAGCCACATAGCATGGGCTAAGGAATGGGCTTTATGGGAGAGATTTAAAATTCACAGGGTCAGCAGGGGCTGGGGATTTAGCTCAGCAGTTCTGCAGCCTGCCTTGCAAGTGCAAGGACCTGAGTTCAATCCCGAGTACCAAAAATAAAAAAAAATAAAATAAAATGCACAGGGTCAAACTGCCAGGAAAAAGAGAAGGCACAGGGCCTCCATCCTTTTGCCATCCCATTGAGAGGTGGGCAGAGGGCTGGAGCAGCTCTGTCTCAGAAAGGTAAGTAACATCTGCTCCTACTAGTCCCCTTTAATATAGGACACACGAGTGAAGCACCAGACTTGTCCAGGGAGTCATATGTAAGCTGCTGAGCAGCAGGTATTTAGCTTCATATGCCAACAGTTTGCAGTTGACTGGGAATGCCAGCCTCCATAGAATAGCACAGCCTCCACTGCTGGGGAGAAGCCGTCAGTCCCTTGGGAACCCGGGTTTGAGTGCAGCTTCTTCCCTAGAAAGGGGGAACTCCAGGCAGAGCTAACTCATTCTTCAGGCAACCCAGAATGAACTACCCAGGTGATATTTGGAAGTCCTGCTCGCTGCAATGCAGAGGCTGCTGCAAGGGTTTAGGCGGAGTTGATAAACTTTCACTGTAAGAAAATAGTTTTGGCTTTGGAACAGTGCAGGTGCTCTCAAAGAATGGGATGTGGATTCTCAGGCCTACTCCTTGAGCCTTACTAAAGAGGGATAGAGATATCTCATTTGTTTCTCTGTCCTGCTATTTTAGGGTTTCCTGGAAGAACAGAATTGATAGAAACACATACGTAATTATGTAAGGGGATATATTTGGTAGGCTCCCAGGATCAAAGGCAGGAGAGTTCACAATGGCCATCCGTACACTGGAGAGCTGGTGGATCCAGTAGCTGTTCAGCCTGAGAGGATGAGAGCTGCAGAACATGAGGGATCAAGGAGGCAGCACCAGCCCAAGGTTAAAGGTCCTGGAAGCTCAATGGAGAGTCTCCAGGATGAGTCTTCGTGGGCAGGCTGAAGAAACAGACCAATGTCCAAAGGTGATGGTGGCAAAGGACACACCCACTCAAGGTGAATAGGGCTCCTTAAAAATGGGCAAACTCCCTTCTTTCCCTTTTTATTCCATTCAGGATACAAGCCTATTGATTGGTGCCACCTACAACTAGGCTAGGTGTTCACCCCTCAGTCTGTGGGTTAATCTACCAATTATCCCCACAAACACACCCAGAACTGAGTCATACTAATCTGCTAGCCATCTCAATCTAATTAATGGTCACCCCTCCCTTGCTCACAGCATATAAAATGTGCCTGCCCCTTACTCTTTACTTTTATTGCAGGGGCCAGATGAACTGTAATAGCAGGGAGGAATGCCAGGATTTGCTCCGAGAGGGAGAAAATCCCTTAAAATCTAAGGGCATAATTGATCCAAAGGCTCAGTACTAGTGTCTGGCCCCACCCTTGCAAGGCCATAAAGCTAGTCTTGTCCTTTTGTTAATGGGCTGGTCTGGTCATCAGAGTTGTGCCTCATTTAGTTCCTCAACTGAAAGCCCCTTCCCTAGTTTTTCTCTAACTCTACCTAATAAATCTGCCTCTCACGGAGGTGTCCTAAAATTCTTTTCCCATGACAAGTCAACAAACCTTTTAGGGTAGAGAGCAAATTGGGGTCCTTGTGTTCTATTTTGGGGATCTCCTCAGACCCCATCCAATGATATACCAATTTTGATTTTCTATACAAATTGAATATAAAAACCTTTAGCTGACTTGTAATAGCTTTGCAAGCATGTTCTCTGTCATGCCAGTCAATTCTGTTGTCTGCAGCCAGAAAGCAGCTGTAAACACAAATGATGTGCCAGGGTCCCAGTAACTCAGTGTTTTACAAAAACAGGTAGTGGGCCAGATTTGGGAACTGATCTCAGACTCCTGTGAGGGCTCTCTGCTCTCCTTCGAAAATTGGTGTTCAGCTGGGAATGATGGCACACACTTGTAATCCCAGCCTGAGGCAGGAGGATCTCAAGCCTAAGCCTACATTGTGCAGTTTAGTGACTTAGCAAGACTCAGTCTTTTTTTTTTTTTTTTTTTTTTTTT